TGGAGGCACGAATAAATGAATATATTCAGTATTTTTTTTATTATTAAACGATGTTTTTTACAAAAATATTAATTCGGCATTATTATACAATGTTTTGACTTGAAGTAACAAAAATTTTGGAAAAAAATAATAAATATTCCCAAAGTTATAGCTGTTTTTGTTGACGCTGTTTCAAAAAAACGGTCCTGGCGGTGACCATCATAACTCCTTAGAGATTTATCTAAAATCAATCAAATAAAAAAATAGTTTTATAAATAGATAATCCTGTGCCTGATCGAAGGTTTTCTTTTTTTTGCAAAAAATAACAAAATGGCAGCATCAGAAAAAAATTCTAGATTTTTAGGTAAAAAATCAACAGTTAATTGGTCTTAAAAAATTAAAATTATTTGAAAAAATAAAAATCCTTCGATCAGGCCCGAGCTTATTATTTATTCTAAAAGCTGTATAAATTTCATTAAAATTTACTAAGTGGTTTTTGAGTTACAGTGGTGACCGGTTCAAAAAACATAGTTTTGAGAAATACGCGTTTAAAGTTTCACATTGGATTTACGTACAGAAATTCGAATTATTGAATTACTTAAACCGAGTCATCTATTTCTGGGCCATATAATTGTTCATCAGTCATTGTGCAAGTTTCCAAAATTCCCATTTGCTGTTGCCTACGAAGCATTTTGGCCCCCCGAATGGCATTTTGGCGCTGATCTGCCACATTCACAAGTGCAACAATTTTTCAGCATACCAATGGGAATTATTCCCACAATTAGGTCCATAATCAATAATAAAGATTATGTATATGCAATCAGCAATTTGTACGATAGTAGAACTAGTTATCACGGTTTTTAGGCATATGTTTTACAATAGTTGGTTGAAGCTTTTAATTTTTTCTGATTATGGATTCAATCTTGAACTATACATCTTGAAAGTAAATTATCATTGCTGAGATCATCGTAAATCGGTTTTAAAGCTTTTAGAACATCAGGAGGTGAGGGAGAATAATCTTGAGTATAAGTATCGAGCTCTCCACTTGCGTCAGCGCGCTGGTTAGAGTCCAATAACTCAAAAAGTGTTGAAAGTGAATCATCCGATCAACTTGAAATTTTCAGAGAACATTTTCAAGATATTACACTTAATGAAAATGCAAAAAAATAAAAATCGATTTTTCAAAAATTCCAAGTACCCCTAACCCCTTAAGTTTCTCTTGATTATTGAAGATATAATAATAAACAAAACCAAGTGTATCTCGAGAAGAGTTATACGGTAATCAAATAACAGAAATATGAAGATACTGTTGTCTTTCACTATCATAAACAATATCAATATTTCCATTTGTTATGAAAAGGTTTTGTCAAGGTTCGAATGCATTTATGATAACGTTTTATAGGATAATATTAATGAGTATGTTGATACCTATAATTTTAACGAAAATATTTACTTTCAATAAGTTTGTTTATAATATTGTTCATTGCCATTAATTATTTAGAACGAAGCATCGTCTTTTGAAGCTGCTCCATATGGGCAAGAAAAGTTTTCACCAGTAGGTGGGAATGATGATACTGGCAAAAAAGGTAAAACAGTTAATTTATAATATTTATATTAATATATATATATATATATATATATATATATAATTGTATATAGATTTATATGAATTTTTTTATAATCACGTTTATTATGACTGAAATCGGACAACATCTATTTTTATATCCCTAAATGGCAAGGGTCGCCATTCTTAAGACTTTTTTTTTATTATATTTTCAAATTTCTTTAATTAAACGAATTTACCTAAATATTCACCCTCCCACCACAAATTTTCTATATGTATTGGTGATTAAATTGCTGATTGCAAAAGATTTACCATTTTTTTCCTAAGATTATTTATATTTATTAATTTCTTTCCAATAGTAAGTCAGACACAATTCATATTGAGATCACGAGGACCTAGTCAACAATCAAATTTTATGGATGATATTGTCCAACAAAATAAGGGAAGAACTGCATCTGGTCAAGATGATGACTTTTTAATACGCTCTCCTTCGAATCACGTCCGATTTGAGAATCCGATGTATGATCCAAAGGTAAAAGTTCAAATAATTGATGGAGCTGAATATTGACTGAAATTGACTAATTTGACATTGGATTTTCCGATTAGTATATCTCCTTCTTATTGAATAAGTCGTTTAGACGCAACGACAAAATGCCATTTACACCTTATTTTAAACGAAGTTTAGAAAAATCATTTCAATAAATGCAAGTAAATAATCGTCACATATTTCATACATTGCATAAGCTGATTATGTTATATTTTTACAATTAATTCCATATTTAACGTTTTAGGGCTACAGAAGTCGAAAAGATTATTATAATAATTGCGAAAATCCGTATTCTTACAGAGCGCCATCTGTTGACTCAAAATATTATAGAAACAAAAATAAATACAGGTATAATGTTCTGAAATTGTTTTTTTAATGCTTTACTTTATTATATGTATATTTTTGAAAAATAGTAAATCGAGGCTGAATCTTCGAAGTTTACCAAGATATCGAGGTTCAGGAAATTCACCGCGTGATTTATATTCAGAATCATATGCAGAGGTAAGATGATGGCAAATGTAAATGATAGGTTCCATAACATATAGGCTTTAAATAAGTTAACGAAATGATGATAATGATTTTTTGTCATTAAATAGTAACTCATAACTTGAAGATGTGGCACTAAAAATTATGTACCTGTAACTTCATTCATTTTATTCATTGATCTACTAAATTAATATTTTTTAATTCCAGTATGAAGATGATGGATGGTCGAATATCTTACCATACGGTGGATCTAACGGTACGTGGAAAATAGTTGCATATAGTAATTATCTTAATCTTAGATTGAGGGCTGGTGCAAATTCTGATGAAACATCAAATATTTTTGGCGCAAACCGGGGTGGGAATAGTTCTACTAGTCGTAGAGTCCTTCAAATGGATTCTACGGGAACATCGAGTGGTCATTTCAGGCCAAATGTATCAACTACCAATAACGAGCCAAGTGAGGAATTGCCTTTACCTCCGCAAGATAATCGCTTTAAATCTGTGATTATGTCACAACTGACTGATTCTTTTAGAAAAAGAGTTGTTGCTCCTAGTGACACTCTTAGCCAAACAATAAATCCAAACAATAATCTGTCCTCAGTAAATGCACCAAAACGGGTTTCTAGAAATAAATCACAAAGTGATAATGCCGGAAAGCCAGGCATAATAATAACAGAAAGGAGTAGACAATCGCAAATTGCGCCTGATGTTGTTTTCACACAACCTGTGCCTAAAGTAAAACCTGCTTTGAAAACAGAAATGATGACGCCACATCAAAAAGTTGGTTTAGCGTCTCAAGGCGGAAGTACTGGAGAAAAACCATTCAGTGTATCTGTACTAGCTTCCAGATCCGCCATACCAGCTCAAAGGCCAACCGTATCTAAGGTTTCGAATGTAAGACCTGTAGCATCACCTAAAACGCTGAGAGCAGGTTCATCTGTTCAACCATCCACAACTTTGAGTCGGACTGAGAATATCCAACAAACGAAAAGAGGAATGATGGTACCACATCAAAAAGTTAGATTAGCGTCTCAAGGCAGAAGTACTAGAGAAAAACCATTTAGTGCATCTGTATTAGCTTCTAGATCCATCATACCATCTCAAAGGCCAACGGTATCTAGGGTTTCGAACGTAAGACCTGTAGTATCATCGCCTAGAACGCTGAGAGCTGTTCAACCATCCACAACTTCGAGTACGATTCGAAATGAGAATATCCAACAATCTGATGTATCCTCCAACAAATTTCCCAGCTCTACACTTTCACAAAGAAAAATAGATCAATCAGCCACACAAAATGATGAAACACAGAGTGTACCTAATGAAAGCCAGAAACAGTCACTGTATTTTGTCCTCCAGCCTCGTGTGATGAGCGACACATCAGATGGTTCACGAAAATCAATAAAAACAAAAACCGGCTTGGCATCATTAGTGTTATCAACTATGTTTCCACTAACTCTAAATCGGATAATAAAACGATCCAGTGCAATTATAAATGAACCACCACCTACTGGTACAACTCTTCAATATTATTTTATTTGTAGTCTCATATTGCTAATTTTTATTTGTAATCTATAACTTGGTAAGTATTAGATGTAACTTTTTGATATATAATTTATTTCTATTCAATTATTTTTGCAAAGCTTATTGATTTTAATTTGGCGTAATAAGCCAAATTATCTATTTTCTTCCAACAGACGAAACTGTCATTTATGAAGAACCAGAAGTTGGCCAAGAACAAAACAGAGACTACTATGGACAGCAGCAATATACACGAGATTATGACCAATACCAGGTTATGCAAGAGCCCTATGAAAGTGATAATGAGTATTACGATTCTCGCGATTCAGCAAACGACAATATAGGCAGTTTTGTTGATGAATTTGGTCGACCATTTGATGACTCTGAAGTTTATATGTACGATGAATATAAACAAGCATATGTACCATATCGGCAATTGATGCGATCAAAGCGAGACTATTATTACGACCAACAAATCTCTTACCCTGATCCAACAATGTTACCAGAACCGTCTTCGAGTTTCTGGAACTACATTGCGGCGGTTTTCATACCGAAACATGAATACGCCTTCGCTTTAATTATAATAGGATTCATCATTATGATGTTTTGTGTGTACTTGCAATTTGCACCGAACTGGAAATCCAGACCATATCACTATTGGATAAATTACTAATTGATATGTACCTTACATAAATTTTTTTATGTGTCGAATAATGTAAAAAGATATGGTGGTATCAACTGCAATCGATTCTTTTTTAACGTAGACGAATAAATCCATAACGATTTTTGCGAAACTTTCATTCCAATATACGTATTTTAATTTATTTTGTAACGGTAAACTAATCGAAGCATTGTATATTGCAGCTGTAGTTATTTCTTTTAATGTGAGATTTCAATATAAGACAGTTTTACATTTATTTGTATTTCTTTAAAAATTCTACATTTTTATAAAACAATATATTAATATATAATCAATATTTATCCTTTATGCGGCCAGGTTGAGATTTCTGCATAGAGTTTATTTCCAGGGCATTCTGTGGATACTGCCTGTAATATTTTAATAGTCATTTAAATTTAAAATATAATAATAATAATTTAATGCATTTTGTATCTGATAGAATAAGTGAGATTTCTAGCGTTAATTTTTTAATCATAATTTTGTCCTGAGATATTTTTCGACAAAAAATATAACATTTTCAAAATAGGAAAAAGGTTTGTCGCACCAAACCAAAATTTGTCGAAATTTTACCACGTTCCAAAAACACGTTATAAACTAGGTGTAAGGGGCATTCTGTATTAAGAGAAGTTGCATGAACTTCACGATATGTGTAAATAATCAATAAGTGAGATTTTAGTTTTAGCTAGTTAGATAAAATTTTCTACTGTTTGTTGTGAAAATTGAATTTTCCAATTTATTTTTTAAATAGACTTAGGGGGCGTCCATTAATCACGTGAGCGAGTTTTTGAGGATTTTTAGACCCCCCTCCCCTTGGTGATATTCAAAATCACCCCCCTCCCCCATGTGTATTTTTAGTTACGTGAAAAAACTGTAAAATTTTTGAGTTTTTTATGAAAATGTTTGAATTTTTTTTATAAAAAATAGTAAAAAAATAAATACACGTGATATCTTGCTATACCCCTCTCCTCCCCCTCGTTATATTTCGTGTGTTTTTGTCAACCCCCCCTCCTCCTAAAAACCTCACGTGATTAATAGATGCCCCCTTATCATATATGCAATTATATAAATATAGTGATTTTTTCTATCTCAAACATTTTCATAGGTCTTTAATATTTTAGGAACCTTATCGATATACTCTTCTTTTATCTATGTTAAAATTCATTAAAAACGTAAAAATTGCATTTAATTAAATTTAATTAAATTTAATTTTACCAAAAACTAATCAATATGAATTTGCTTCAGGATTTTTTGAATAATCTTTCTTTACACTTTTCTGCCAATTCTAAAAAGAACGAGCTCATGTGCCGAGGCAAAACTAACCAACTTGTGTCATTTTCACCAAGAAATCTTGTTTCATCATATTGATTTTAAACTTTTAAAATCGGTTTAGCCGTTTTTTTTATGTAACGTTTTTCAAAATGTCGGCTCGCACACATTTATACTTTCTCCAAATTTGGTCTTAATTGCTTCAGAACTACTTGAAACGTCTAAAAAACTCAAAATTAGCATATTGGATTTCCTAGAAAATCTTTCTTTCGGGGAAGCAAAACTCCCTCTCTCTAGCAAACTTTTTTTTCGGGGAGTTAAATATTACATAAGTTTTTAGAAACGTAAAGTTTCAATTAAGAAAATCGCATTTATCAAAAATTTTAACATACTTGTCTATGTCCTAATAAAACATAATCCTTTTTCAAGTGTCCTTCTGCTACTCCGCACGATATAAGATTTTTAACTGCGGTCAACATCGCTTGTGAAGGCAACTTATCTGAAAATCATTTTGGAAATTATCATTTAAAATAAATATAAAATATATTTATGGCATTAATATAAAATTTATTGTTTCAAATACTAACCGCTCCAGTTTCCGATTAGGCAAATTCCAACACTGTTAAAATTATAGCCTGGTGCATGGGCTCCTACGACCTTCCATCCTCGTCCCTGGTAGATTTTGCCATCTCCTCCCACTGCAAAGCTATGGAAAAATTATCAGTAATTTTTACAGACTGAGCAAAGCAAGAAAAAAATCAAACAAGTAAGTACTATTTTGCCCTAGGTTACATGAATTGCCCGACTTGTGTCAATAATCGAGATAATCAATAAGGTTAGAGATTTAGCTATACTATATTTTTTTTCAGGAGCATACCTGTAGCCTATGTCTGCCCATCCGTTAGTCTGCTGGTGGTAGTTCTGCATAGATTTCATGGCACTGGCGCAAGTTGCTTGACCAGATCCACCGCATGGTCCAGGACTCACGGAATGGTGAATTATAACGTGCGATAATGTGGAAGTGATGTGTTGGACATTTGTTGGAGGCTTTGCTCCCCATTGGGCGCGAGTGACTATCGGACAGGTACCTGAAAAAAAATTGTTATATATTAAAATATATATATATATATATATATATATAAGGTGGGCCTTAATTTTCATTAGTATGGACATGCTATTTCCATACGAAGTTTGATTGAATTGCGCGCTATCTAAAAGTTAATATTAAGAGCTAAAACTTTCAGATAATTGTTTTTTATCAATTTGGAACCATTTGAGCCCTTGAGAGCAAGAAAATTCGAAAATGTCCATGTAATAAGAACCACCTTAATATATATATATATTTCTACTGATATCGCTTTTCGCTCAACTCTCCTGATGTTTACAAAAGTTGACGTCCTTTTTGGAAAATGAGTATTGGATTATAAGTTTAAAATTATAAAAACAAAAAGTTACCTTAATTTACCAAACAGGAAAAGCAGGAATATATATACTTCGGGAAACGTTATGTTTTTTTTTATAGTAGATATAAAAGTAATCAATTTGATCATGCATTCAATGGGAATAACCATTGTTTGATTAGAAATCTTTGACTACGATTTAGCTTTAGAATTTTTCAGTAATAACAATAACTTTGAGGATAAGTATTATTTATTAAATAACGTCTATTTTGGCTTTGATGTTGATATAAAATTTTCCATTATTTTGTTGTCGTTTGAATTGTCTATTTTATGCCACTTCTAGCCAATTTTAATATTTTTTGCAAGTAAATTTTGCGGATTTTGCATTAGTGGAAATCATGGTGGATGCTTAATATTGGACACGTGGATACTTTAACAGATATTTTAAATATTTTTTTTATTATTCTTAGACTTTTTTAATGAATCTAAAGCCTTTTAGTGTTCCAGTTCAAACATGTAACTAAGTATAGCATATGCAAATCTTTTTGTTAACGTTTATGCTAAAAATTCTGAACTGACTTTGAAATTTCCAAAACCATTCAAGATATTTGAGCATCATTCGAATTGCATGATATCTTGAACGATTTTTCAAATTTCAAAGTTTGTTCAGAATTTTTGGGATGATGGGATTCCAAGTGATGGGATCCCATCATTTGGGAATGGTGCTGATTAGTTTTTTTGGTTAAGATTGACCAGGTCTTATCTTCGGAATTAATGAATAAAATATTTTTAACTTAATCATTAAATGATTTTTATTCAACTATTTCAAATAATAGTAGTATACAGTTTATTACATAAATGATCATTATTAAATATAGTTTACAAGTAGAAAATATGTATAATTTCTTCTTGTCATTACATCATTTTTGTAATAAAATAAACTGTAAAACACTGATTCAATTTATAAAAATGTAAATAGAAATGATAATTTAGGTTTTTTAATAATTGCTATACGTCTAATCTGGTTTATATCATTCCTGAGCTTACGAGTCGCCTGGATGATCGATGTTATTGACCAAAGTTATAGGCCTAAGAAAAGTGGTTTGATTCTAAAATTTCATTACAGTTTGAAATTCATTACATTAGTTTCAAATCAACAGTAAAAATTTGTCTCGTTGTAACACACTGGGAAGTTGATGCAACTTGCCTTAAGGCTAAATTTTACTTACACCTGGTTTATTGATCATTTGAATTAATTGCACTAAGGTAAATTTAAATACATCAGTAATCTATTAATGAAATATTGTAGATTTGAATTAATGAATCTTATTTTTGAAATTAACATATAGTTTATCGTCACTGTGAGGTTTAAGCAACTTGCTTTAAGTCAAAATTTTACTTACACTTAGTTAATTAATAATTAATTACACTAAGTAAGTTTAAACACAGTAAACCATTTATAAAATATTATATATTTAACGTAATACAGGAAATAATTTTCAAACAACCCTAAAAATGCATTCCAAATTCAGTAGTTGCACAGATTCACAAAAAAAATGCTTTCTAATTTATATTTATTTATTATGAATAATCAATTTATTATTTATTTTATTTTATATGTTATTTAAAACAGAAATAGATTAATCTGTCTGTTTAAATTATATCTATTTAAATTTAAATACTTACTTGCGGCATTTGCGATAGTTAAAAGATTAAGAAGTAAAGGCGCTGCAGCAACCATCTTTTTTATTTTATTAAAAAAATATCACTAAAATAGTTCTCAAGACATTAATTTATTTTTTTCGAATTCTGTATTTATATCAACACATCATAATGGTTTTGTACTGTGCGCAAAATTACGTAAATAAATATCTAATCAATACAAAGACAAACAAAAATTACATTTTGATAATTTATTTCAAGATTAATTGAACCATTTAAAAATAAATTAAATGTTATCACTTGTACTGATCAGTTTATATTGTACTTTTGTAATCAGTTAAGTTTAGTTCATTTATGATTGTAGATTACAGAATTGAAATTATCTATATTCATTATTTCTAAATATATAAATTTTATTGTAAATATTTTGTTTGAAGTAAGTAAACAAAGTTTACTATAGCATATTTATTTAATCTTAACTAGTGGCATTTTGCTGTAAAGAAAGTTACATGGACTTCTTAATAGGTGTTAAAAATAGACTTCATTAATAACAATTGATATTTAGAAAACTTTCAAATCGTGGCGATAAAATTTGCAACTGTTTATTTTGCTTCACACTAAAAACTAATTAATGTGGTTTTCATTTGATATTATTCAAACTTAAATATTCGTAATTGTATTAATTATACGCACTTGGGGTTCCCCTTGCAATTTTATTTAAAACTTCAATGAATTTTTATATTTAAACCACTTTTCGTAGGGATTTAGTATTTTAGAACGTTCGTTTACACTCTAATCTTTATTACAATACTAAGTTTTATTAAAATCGTTAAAAAAACTTTAAATAATTACTAATAAAAGGCCTGACAGAATTTTGTCAAAGCATAGATTCCAAATTGATATTTTTCCAGAAGTTTTTGAATTCTCAAAATCAATACACGATTTTTAGCGAAAATTTTTGGCGATCCGTAAATTGTGAAGAAACAACTCAGATTTTCATTAAATGTCTTATAAATTTTTCATAGTATTGATACATAAAAAACATAAAAATTGGATTTTCTGCCGAAAACAAACTCAAGAGATATTTAGTTAAAATAAATATATTCCCAAAAATATTGTATAATAAATATGTTTTCAAGATAATAGATATGATATAGGTTCATCGAAGTCTTCACTAGTTTGGACCTAAAAAAAAAAATAAATGAAACTATTATCACATACAGTAATGATATTTATTATACCTGAAATTCCCATGTACCAGTTTTCGTTTTTATTGATAAAGGCAAATGACTTCCAATAGCTCGTTGTTCTTCTAAAACATTTTTTATTTGTGTCCATATATAAGTATCTCTAGATAAGTTTTCCATATTTCCAATGATGAATAAACCTGTAAAAAAGATATTTTTATTGGATATAAATATTCTCATAAATTGAATTTTATGATAAACTAATAAAATTAATTCCGAAATATTTATTGCATTAGAGTATCCTGTAAGCAAGTTGGATGTTTTATGATAGTAAATTAATTTATAGGTAGTCATGTTAATTATTTATTAATAGTAACGATTTATCCACGCGAACATATCGAGAATTATGTTAATGTTTAAAATTTTTACTATTTGAACAAATTAAACTCATATGTTGGGATTCCACTATAAATGCATATTATTCTTGAACAAAGATAACTATAATCAATGTTTCATTCATTAACATCAATAATTACCTTCCATTGCTCGAGATAGTGCCACACATATTCGATTTTGTTTATTTAAAAATCCAATATTTGCATCCTTATTACTTCTCACCAACGACAGAAGAATGATTCTATTTTCTTGGCCTTGGAAATTATCTACCGTCGACACTTTTACTTTTTTCAGAATATCAATATGTTTCATTTCATTCTCAATTGCTTGAACTTGTCCAGAATATGTTGATAATATTGTAATATCTTTGGAACCATATTGATTCAATTTTAGGTAATGGCATAATTTAACAATGAATTTGGCTTCATGAATATTTTTACAACTAGTCGAATCCAATTTATGGTCTTCAGGAACACTATGGTTGACGAAAAATAAATTATGTTTAAAGCCTTTTATATTTCGATAGTTTAAAGTGCGGCCACCATTCTCCAAATTTTCATAAATAATTGGAGAAATCAAGAAACATATTTTAGGCATCATTCTGTATTGTGTATTTAATGTATGATAAGGTAAACCATTATTTATTAAACGTTCAAACAGTGAAATATTAATGTTAGAAATTTTGGAGAGTTCATATGAAGCATTATGAGGTTGCAATTGTTTATGGTCACCTATCATTATAAGGTGCTCGCAATGTTTTGTTAATGAGGCTATGACATGAGCTTCAGGTATTTCAGCAGCCTCTTCAAAGATATAAATAGGAATCTTTAGTTCCTTTAATATAATTTGCATTCTCGCAGCACTTGTGGTCGTCATACCAATAACTTTAGCATCTTTTAAAAATTTCATGTACTGAATGTATTTTAGCTCTTCGTATTGTTTGAACAAACTTTGATATTCTGCTATGCATTCTTTATATTTATGCAAATAATCTTTTTGAAGCATATCTACCCAATGCCAATATAGACTCCACCGATCATCAAAATTCAGTGCAGTTGCACTTGCAGTACTGAACTGTTTTTGGTTTTGAATAGGACCTATTTCCATACGAGCTTTTAAATGTTCTAACCAAATTCCAAATCTTGTTTCTCATTTTGTATCTATTTATATATTTCATTGTGTGGCTTGTTCAGAATTTTCTTTTATTACTCATTAATTTGTGTAAAGAGGTTTGTAGATTT